TAAATAGTTCATTCACCCAATAAGAAATAATGGTGAAAGTCTGTGTTAGTACCTGATAGATAGTATTAACACATAAGAGATATGATGTAGAAGCATCTTGTCTCACAGGAATATAACTTCATTTATGCCCCTCTGTACATGCATGTACATGTGCATGCATATGCATGTGTGCTGGTGTACCCATGTATACGTGTATGAGTGTGCATACGTGCGTGTGTGTCAAATTCCACATGTCCTTATGCTCACCTCCTGGCTTAAAAGCCAGGGTCCCCTGATGACTGTAGGGGGAGCTAAGGTGTGAGGAGTAAGGAGAAAAAGAAGAAAATGGAGTGAAGGAGCTAGAGAGAGCAGAGATATAGGAGGAGGAAGAGCCACACAGGTATGGAGAGCAGTCACAGATAACAATTTATATATAGGTCAGCTAAATGGGCACACCTCTAATTGTATAGGCATATTGTTATTGAGCATTACCAAATATATAAAACCTTTGATTAATATTTAAGCATTAAAGTCTCATTTTCCTACCAGGCCTGCATGGATGACTGGATGGTCTGGGCAATACCCAGCCTTGTGGAGACAGTGTGGAAAATTGGCAGAGCCATCTCCCACACTGGCATCTCATGGGTGGCAGGGCTGGTGTTTCTGGCTGGCTGTTTCTAGCTGCAGCACGCATGTGGCATGTGGCTTAGATAGTGGGCTTGACTAGTGGCCGTTTTAAATAATTGCTTCAACATACACCTGCATTTACTCTCAGCATTTTGCCCTGGGATCTCCTTAAAGGGAAACCATTCAACTCCTTTCTTATCTTCTAAAATCCAACAGAATCTGACAATATACTAGACCCCTGAAGTGTTTTTAAAGGAATGAGTTATTAAACATATACATTCTCTAAATCAAGATCCAAAGTCAATAGTGCCACACTACAGCCCTTTTCTCCTTAAGTGCCTACATTGAAATAAGAGGGATCAAACGTCTTCTTTCTGTGTTTCATTAGTAAGGTTCAACGGCAAGAGGAAGAATCTTTGTTCCCAAAGCTACCTCTTATTCTCAGAATTCCAAAGGAATATATAGTTTTAGAGTTCTATTTCATTCTGTGAAATTAAAACATTATGTGGCTTTAGGAAACGAATTGGGTATAAACTCTTTTCAAATCCGAAAATGAAATAGAAAGAGCCTCCTGGTAACCCTTCCAGGACTCCTCGTCTGCTCTGAACATCCTCAAATGCTACATTATTCTCCCAAAGGAGAAATCCCTATGTAATAAAAAATTAAATCAGCAGTGGTTCTTTTCCTCAAGGTCTGCTGGGAAACAAAGAGCAACAGACTGCATCGTTTTGGGGGTACCTGGAAATCCCCAACCAACAACTCACAAAGTGGTAGCCCATCCCTGAAACTCTGCTTTTGTTTGATAAACTATGGCTTCTAAAAGGAGCATCATCTTTATCTAAAACCCATATTTAAATATATTAGATTTAGAAAGCTTATAGAACACTAGGATTCCGTATGGCCTTTTAAATAAACTAAGAGATGTTTATCTACACTATCTCTCAAGCTTACCCACCCATCTCTCTTCCACTTAAATTTTACCCCTTAAATTATCCCCCTTTCTCACTTCATACTAGTGGTCTACTATTGCCTTCCTCCTTCCACTCTTCCCCTTTCTCCCCTCCTCCCCTCTTCCAATGATGTGTTTCTAGTTTTCTAACTTCTATTGGTACTCAAAGTTGCACCCATAAATCTAAAACTTCAACGATAAACCACATGCAATACGAAGCATGTGTTGTTTGCCTTCTGAGTATAGGTTACCACACTCAGCATATTTTTACACTCCTGTGCATTTACTTCCTTCATTTCTGTTAGAGGTCTTAGAGAAATCAAGCTGGTACTGATCTAAAAGCCTCTTTCCTGATGGTATAAATTCAAAACGTCAGAAACTGTAATGTAGGCTTCGAAAGGGGAAAAGTCTTACCAATATATGAGCCTTGCACATTACAATAATCAATGGCCTGTCAAGCTATGCTCATTTGTTCAATAGTGGCACAGATGTCTTAGCTGCAACCAACAGCTCTCTACTTAGATTTAAGGACTACAAAATAGAAGTGAACTTATGCCTACTTCTGTAAACCTAATGGAGAATTCTTGACAGGAGAGTTCATAGGCAAACTTCAGAGGAGAACTACTGAGTTTGCTAAGTTGATATAATATTCAACTTCCTCCTAAATACTTATTGTATACACAAAGATTACCCTTCTGGTTTGAAGTGTAGGGGTTAATACAGTGAACATAACTGGTCAAAGAGAATAAGAAACTGTGAAATGCTCATCCCCAAATGAGATAATATACCAAACAAACACACCCAGTTCTCAGGGAACATCATTGAAGATGGGGGTAGAAATATTTTAAGAGCCCACAGACTTGGAAGACTAGTGAAAATTAGTGTCTTCTAAATATGACTGGGCTACTGTACTCATGAACTCTAAACAGCTATGATAGCCTACACAACACCTACATAAGATCAACCCAGTTGACATTCCAGCATGCATAGAGGAGGAACCCACAGGATCTGGTTGTTTGAATAGGAATGTCTCCCATAGACTACCATGTTTCAACGCTTGGCCCATTAGGAATGGCCTTGTTATTATAGGTTTGGCCTTGTAGGAGGAAGTATGCCACTGTGGAGATGGGCTTTGAGATTTCCCATGCTCAAGCTCTACCAAGTGTGATACATAGTCTCTTTTAGATGTCTGCAGATCAAGATGTAGAACTCTCAGCTACCTCTCTATCACCATGTCTGCCTGTGTGCCACCATGCTTCTTACCATGAAGAAAATGGTCTAAACCTCTGAACTGTAGCCAGCTGCAATGAAATATTTTCCTTTATAAGAGTTGCCATGGTCATGGTGTCTCTTTCCATCAATAAAGCCCAAACAAAAAATACAGACCCACAATACAAGAGACTCTAAGGCAGTAGTTAAGCTGCTAGTGGGTAGAGAGTCCATTTTCTTCAGTTATATGGCTCCTGGTAGGTTGCCTATTCACCAGTGGACAGCCTTATCCCCATAGACATATAAGCTGCCCTAACTGGAATCTGTGAATTATGTTTTAAAAAGTTAAGAGAAATAGTAGAAAATATGAAGATGGCAGAAATGTATGAAGGGAGATCTTGTAAAAATTAGAGGAGAGGAACAAGGAATAAATACAATCAAAACACATGACATTCAAGCTTAAATTTCTCAAATAATAAGTAAAATTTTAAAAATTTAAAGCAAGAACTCCAAATTTGTGTAGTTTTATTTTAATGAATGCTTCCAAAACCACCTTAATTCCATGAGACAACTATGTTTTCAATCCCCATCTCTCATATAAAAGACTCATGCTGCATATCTGAAGCAAGACCAAAGAGGACCAGAAGCTCTGTTGAGCTCCTCTGCATCCTCATGGAAGAGAAAGAAGGCAGAACACAATTTGATCCCTTTGTAAGTGTTTGGGCTCTGAGTTCAATCTCCATTCATAATCATGTAACAAGCTCAATTCCATATGAAGGGGAAAATATTACCATTTAAGATTAGATGTATACATTTAAACTGTTGCCTTAAACAGGCTAAAGAATACCAGGCCAAGGAGAAATTACTGGGCACTTGGTATTGTTCAAAGCTATGCCCAAGAGAAGCACACAATAAGTTAAAATATATCTCACAATGGAGCATGCAGAATACACCAAGCTATGTGCTAAAGAGAAGCAAAATAGGTAAGTCTCTCGACAAAATAAAAATAAAAGAAAACAAAGAATAGTTGAATTTGTGACCTTTAACCAAGATTCTAGGGCCATGCCAGACTTGAATTGAAAAAGTAACAGCATTTGGCCTATATATCATCAGAAAGTAGCTCATACAATCTCTTGAATGCAGATGTTCATGCCCTGAAGAACTTAAAACCAGAACCTAACTTTTATACTGTATCACACTAGAAAAAGTCTTATAAAGAAAGAAGCCTTCTTCTTCATGCCTAATGACTAAGTGAAGGACAGGGAATGTTTTGGGAAAGTCATCTCATGTCCTAAAATCTCCAAACAATAGTTTTGAGTTAAAAATGGATGTGTCCCCATTATTTTATTCACTTCCTGATTTTTTAAAAAAATGTGAATCTTTGACATAGTATTTTGGGCTTCAAGGCAGAGTCATTTATCCATCTTATTTACTCAAGTGGGGAAAATAGAAAGCATGCATTTCTTTCTGCATTGTCTATCAGGATATTCTCTGGCACACAGTAGGTACCATCAATGTTTTTGTTTGTTCTGCTTGGTTTGGTTTGGTTTGGTTTGGTTTGGTTTGGCTTGGCTTGGCTTGGCTTGGCTTGGTTTGGTTTGGTTTGGTTTGGTTTGGTTTGGTTTGTTTGGTTTGGTTTGGTTTGGTTTGGTTTGGTTTGGTTTGGTTTGGTTTGGTTTGGTTTAGTTTGGTTTGGTTTTTCCTGAACAAACTCTAGAGAACCTCTTAATCTACACCACATAATGCATGTCCCCAGAAAAGTTGTATTGTAACATGAGTCCAGCATAAAGATATTTGTCATGAATGTGGTCTCCCTCCTGTCTTGGTTGACATGTAGCAGTTCTGCACTGGGGTGAGCATCAGGTCTTTCAGTTCTGAGCAGAGTTCAGGCTAGGTACAAGTTGAACACTAAGCAGATTCATGTGTGAATGCTAAATCTCTCAAACACATCACAGACTTAACCTTCTTATGTTGTTGAGTTTGAGGTAAGGAGGATTCTTCCCTGTGTTTAAATTGTTAGAAATATCACTAGCCAATTAGGACACGAGTCCCTGTGATTCTGTCAGTGGCTCTGTAGGTTGATGGGTGCAAATTTAAACCTTTCCATTTCATAGATGAGGAAACTGTAGCTTTGAGAAGAAATGATTTCTTGTACTTCCCAGGGAAATGCTGAGTTTGTAAATGAAGGGAAACTGAGGCCTCTAGTCTCTTCTCTGTCACAGTAAGGAATACTCACGTCATGATGTGGGTCTCTACTCCAGCCTCCACCAACGCTCCATCCACAAAAAGAGGCAGCAATGTGAAACCATACTTGTTCCAGGAATGGCCCTCATCAAAACTCACCCTGAGGCAGAGACAAATACATGGAAAACATAGCTGAAAATAAAGTCACAATTTTTGACAACCATATTTTAAGTTATTAAAATTTCCTCTGGATCTTGCTATCTGACAATTTGGATAATCGATACTTAATCATCAATATCTCCCTATATCTTAGGATTTGATCAAAATTTTTCTTCCCAGAACAGGCAGAAATGGCATCAGACCTGCAGAAATATTTTAGCATGCTAGAATTGAGGAAACACACACACACAGACACACACACACACACACACACACACACACACAGAGAGAGAGAGAGAGAGAGAGAGAGAGAGAGAGAGAGAGAAGCAGGATGGCTCAATGGATAGAGTGTAACATTTCAAATACCAAGAGTGAAACTGGAGGTTCAATTTACAGCACAATCAACTCAGCCTTTTGAGTTTCTGACACAGATAAATTGAGTAGTGTGGGTATGCCTTGTAGAAAGGATGTGCATGTGTCTTTCAGATCAAACTTCAAAGAAAAAAGCAATTTCCTATTTGTGCAGAAGTGATGTTGGGACCATTCCACCTTTTCAATATCACTTTAATGGGTTTGTAGGAATGGTGTGTGTGTCTGAACTGCTCTAAAATGTTCTGTTCCATCTTTTGTCCAAGAGTAACATACAGGTCTGGTCCTTTGTGGATGCAGAGCATGCACTTATTTAAAGGATGCTTCTAGTGGAGTGGACTACAATGATTCAATGTGCCTGCTTCCTTCTCTTTCTTAACAATATCAAGTACCTGTCTACATTTTTATTTAAGTAGAGTACAGAGCCACAGGTGTTCTTGTCTTCTTAATCTCCTAGGATCATTTTTATCCTGTCCAGTTCCTAAATCTCTAGGTGCAAAATTTAAGATTTTGAACTCCACAAATATATGGGACTTTCCATATAGACCATGACATGTTTCAAGGCACAGGCCAAGAAGATTTTGTACTTTTCCACCACCTGGACCCTCTTACCCCCTCCCCTTGTAAAACATGCTATAAAAAAGCATTTCATGTTCAAAAAAAAAAAAGAAATTAAAAAAAAATAACCCCCCCCTAAAAAAAATAAAATATCTAAGCTAGAAAAAAAAAAGAATCTTAAGCTCTCAGGGGTTAGAGAATGTGCTTATTTTATTCTTTGAATAGCCCCTCACACTTCACATATGTATCTTTGTTACATGCTTTGTCCTTTGGATTCTACATCATTTCAGAAACTGTGTCTGACTCTTACTAAACTGTGAACTTTTTGAGGCCAAGGACTGTTCCATTCATCATCATAGACCTAATACTTATCTGGACTAAGGAAATGTTAAATGATAATGCATGAAAGGAAACAAAATATCAGAGGTCCTCTTTAATCCTCCCACTCAATTTTTCCAGTATGATTTTATTGACTTCCACATATTGGTTGTAGGAATCATCTATCCTATTAACAGCAAGCCATTCCATTCCCTTTTCTAGTCACTTTTGAATTTCTTGATTCTCCTGTTACTCCCTCTCTAGATTCCTATCTTATCATTCTTTCCAAGTATACAGATTCAAAATAGTATTGAGGACACCACCTTAACTCTTCTAGTGTAGCCAGTCGAACAACAGTATTTAGGTTTATGGCATATCTTGATCCACAGCCATAACAGAAAGTTTCCATAAGTTCCTAAGTTGTCAGCGTCTAGCATTTAAGTTTTAAGATCTCTGTTAATTCAGCCATTTTTTTATTTATAAATTAAATTGAAACCTAAGCTTATGTGCACCAAGAATGGAAGACCTGAATTTCTGTGATAAGAGCATGATACAACTTCCTTGCAATTGTGTTCCAGAATTTCTTACAATAATAAAGGTAGTTGTAGAGTTTCTCATGGCCAGTAACTAGTTAGCTGTGTTTGGTAGCTCCAGGGGTTAAGGAATATAAACAAAAACAAAAACAAAAAAGGTAGGTTTTATGGTTTCTCTTTTCAAACCTGTTTGTTGACATGACTCTAAGCAGATCTGTTACTGTTTCTGCAGAATAATGCCAAGATGAGTTCCAGGCCTCTTCCCTTGCTTCATTGAGAATTCATTCTCTGATAAAGATGAGTTAGCAACAGGTGTAAAGCCAACCTCAGTGAAGGCCACATATATCTAAAGATGAGAGGTGCCCATTTATACATTCACCAACCGGGCAAAGAGGCAGCTATTTTTACTATACAAAGAGAAGATGACACCATAAGGCTGAAGATGAGGTCACATCATATGATGTGGAAGCATCAAGACAGAAGCTTCAAGACAAAGCTAAGTGAAAATAGAGAGAAAAACTATCAAACCTGAAACCCTGCTCTATGGCATAATCTCCATGGAAGGGTCTGACTCACAGGCTAGAGGGAAGAATGTTGTCAGAAAATACCTAAGGACTAGTCCAGGAGGGACAGGAAGCCTATGCAAGTGGAGTCCAAAGATGACATAAACTTGTGAGATCAAGTGCACAGTGTCTAGAGGCAGAATGAAGATGGACTCCAGTGTCCTTTATTCATGATTGAGGTGATATTTGGAAGCCCACAATTGGGCCATGTGGATGCTTCCTGAGAAGAGTGATTGCTAACCTTTCACTGTTTTAGGCTGAGGCAGTTAAAAGGAACAAAACTCCTGAAAGAAACTCCAGAAAACACAGTAAAAATCTTAATGTCGTTTCTATGAGAACTTTGGGCCTGGATTGCCTATCCTTAATGACGGCTGGGACTTTGCAAATATTCAGAGATAACTGCATTGAATGTCATTCCCAGGGGATTCTCATTTTCCTCCCTACATCAATAGCTCATTAATGTCCATGACAAAGAAATTGGGAATCCTATATTAAGTCTATATGTGAAATTGAAATCAGTAAGACTGCCAATAGTCAAGGAGAAAGTAAAATTCTGAATGACCTCCAAATAATGGCAATACAGGAAAACAGATAGCGAATGATATAAACTCCCCTGATCAAATGGTGCTCACTTACTATTTGCCTCAGCTAGCTGTGTCCTCAGTCGTAAGAGTAGGGCAGTATTTCCAGAGAAGAGAGTGAAGGAAAGATGCAGCATCAATGCAATTTGTAGTTGATTTGAGGAGACAAACAGTATGCCAAAAAATTGATGCAATGACAAGTTAGAAATGAATCATGGTGATATAAAGTGGTCTGCTGGTGACTAAACATTCTATCCCAAAGAACTGGTATAAATGGAGATATAGGAATGCGTAGGGGAGGTATATCACAGAGCAAACACTTAATTGGGGATGGATCTGTTCTTTGGGTACAAAAATGGTCAGTGGTAATGTAAAGTGGAAAAAAAAAAGTAGAATCTGTAAATGAGGACAGATGATGTCATTCAACACTTTGTCTCCAGATGAAAGGAGAAAAGTATGATGTGGTCCAAACACTGAAAGAAAATTTTACTTTTACACAGTGAATAGATTGGACTCAAAGTGGTTGTAAGTCAATGAATGGCAAGAGCAGACATTGTTAATTACAAAAGGCCAAGTAAGACCAAATCTGGATAAAGGTTACTATGGAGAACAGACACAGTAAGAGAAATAAGTCATTAGGGCTTAATAATGAAATGTATACAGTCTGAATAAACATAATAAATTATGGAAGATACTTTTTTTCAATGATCTAAAGAGGAAAGCAGAGAGTATAGGAGACACAAAGATTTGGTATGCCATTTTCAGTTTTGGTCCCTGCCTAGATATCTTATAGCCTTCCATGTTTTGACATTGACATTATCAGGGAGACCTTTGGATAGATGGCTCTGGCTTTCTGATCAGAGGTGTGATTTACAAGATAGGGTTAACTTAAAAGTGGAAAGTACTGGAGAGATGGCTCATTACTTAAGACCACTGGCTGCTCTTCCATAATAAACGAGATTGTTTCCCAGCATCCAGAAGGAGGCTCACAACCAGCTGTGACTCCAGTTCCAAGGGATCTGCTCCCCTCTTCTTGCCTCCTTCAGCACTAGGCACATAAGCATGTATGCAGGGAAAATTAACAATGATATCATAGATTTTTAAAAAAGAAGGATGCGTAAGAGAAAAGAGCTGTATATCTGAAGAAAGGATAAGATTAATTAATGACATAATGAGTTCAGTCAAAAGCAACCACATTCCTTGTCAATCACAAGTTAAATTATTATCCAACAACAGTGATAGTACAAAACCCCAGTATAAAGCCTAGGACACACCCATAGGCTGCAAACATGGGGATGACAATAGTCTTTCTGCCATATCTTAAATACTGGGTTCAATTTCAAACAGAGCTTACTTTCTTTTATAAAAGACCTGCCAGACAGTGTGATTTAAGGTGGAAGACAAACTAGTCTAGAAACAGATTATATGAATTTTAGACAGCACAGTTAGGAAAAGAAAGAAAGAAAAAGAAAATAAATACAGACTCAGACTAAACGTGAATTAATTACCATTTCTTTACAACTTATTCTTTTCGCAAGGAGTATTCCACATATTTAAAAGAATATACTGGTTATTCACTATAAAAGCAAGATAATGTCCATGAATGAATTTAGACAGAATGTAGAATTTAGTTAGAATTTAGAGAGAATCCGTGAACCCATCAGTTTTTAAAGAGAGAATGAGAATAAGGAAATATAATTTTCCATTCCAGTGATGTTACTATTAAAAATAGTCTAATATTCAAAGAATGTAAACTGTCATATTTGTTGCTCTGCTCAACCACCCGTGTACCTCAGTCGCTCTTGTAGTACAAGAGGTATACAATAAGCAGTCAGGGAATATGAGTTGCATATTTACATATTCATGGAAACGTAGAATGGCTAGATAAAGAGATATCTGGATGTCCTTCCAATTACACAGTTCTAAAAGTCTGTGTACCTTGGTCACTGGGCAAAGTCCCTAAGTCAGTTCATTGCTGCTCAGTGTTAACATTTTCCCCCAAATAACTATAGTGATGGTAGAAGATAAGAACTCTATTTCTTGAGGACTTACTAAGTGGTTGTCACTGTCTTATTGTCCTATCTTATTGTTTCTCTTAAGGCATCAGAAAATTATCTGTTATACCAGATATTATGTTACATTATATAATCCCTGTATGATTCTTTAATAATCTATGTATATTTGATTATATAGTATTGACATGAGGGAAGAATAGAATTTTTGAAAAAAAATATAACCAATGTCTTTCAGAAGGTCTAGCACAAGAGTAGAGGCCAATGGTCACTGAAAATCAGTTCTCTTTCCCCTGGTAAAGCAAATTGGTTCCTTTTATTTTAATGCACATGCCGGAGGTGTACTGTACTGACCACCTGGAAGTTCCTCAGAACATGCAATGTTCTTTCTCAGAGACATGCACTGGCTAGAACTTTTGCTCTCATGGAAATATTTCTCTGAACAAAACAAAGCACTGGTGCTCATAACCATGGATGGATGAACAAAACCACACCAAAGTCTAGGTGATATTTCCCTTTCTGTTTCCAAGAACATCACATTAAAGGGAAACTGGAACGGCCTGTCAGGGCTCAGCAAATTATCACACCGCAACCCACCTCAACCCATCTGCCAGTTAAACACCCTATCTGTGGTGAGTTTTCACTGGAAAATTGCATTTAATAGGACTCCATGACCCATTTTCCTATAATATTTCCAAGACACAGTGGTAATACTAGATGGAGGGCTTACCTGAAACAGTAGTTAGGCTCTAATCTCTGTGCATCCAGAGTGACATGGTCACAGATGGACGGGTCGGTCTGAATACTGACACGTCTTCATGCCTATCTAGCTACATATCATTTCAATGTGTAGAAAACAGCAGGCTTTGTTAACCTAGGTAAAGTTTCCCCAGCTTTTCTTCTATGATTTCTATTTTCTCTGCAAAGCAATGAAGCTATTATTTAAGTCTAAGAACCACTTTACCACTGGGCGAGGCTGGGTAAGCTAATTCTTTTATCTTGTGCATATATATATATATATATATATATAATGTTAGTTTGAGGTCCATAAGAAAAAAATCAAAATGAACTGACTACTTAATCTTTCTTCATCTTAAAATACTTAAGAAAAAAACCTTGAGTTTGCAACTTAATTAGAACTAGTAAAGAAGGAACTGTATTTGAGTTTCAAAATCTTGGAAAAGCAAAAATTAGCCAGCCATTTTTTTTTAAGAAAACACTGAAGATAATGACATGGTCAAGCCTTTACAAAATATTCCCATAGTCTTAAAAAAAAAACCACCAAAAAAGAAAACAAAAAAACCCCAACAAAACAAAAACCAAACAAACACAACAATAACAACAACAAAACCCACAAACAAAAATTTCTGAATGAATTCTTATTTGTTGTAGTCCTTTCCCACAGACATTGAATAACTGACATTTATACACTTGAAAGTGCAAATTATTCCTTTTCTCCTGAGGACTGAATTGGTAGAGTGGTAACCAAACAGAAATCTTCATCTCTGACTAAGTTCATGGAACATCACTATCAATATCCTTTAAAAGCAGATAAAAGGCTAGGTTAAAAGTAACATTAAAAACTTTTAAGTTAGGATAGGAAAACAGCTATCATTTTACAAGAGGAATTCAATAACAATATAGTTATTTTATAATTTCTACACATTTTTTCATATATTTTACTTTAGAAAATGAAAAATCTGACACATGGTATGTGTACAGTGTGTTTGATGGTTGATTCACTTATATACTAGGTAGTGATGCCGTTGGGGTTGTCCGTATATCCACCCCTGTAGACTTCTACCGTTTATTTATGGTGAGTACATTCAATGTTCTCCATTCACTGCATAATGATACTGTTAGTGCTACTACATTTAACAAGACAATCTCAAATTTACATTGATAATTTTGAGTGATATGGTTGCTCCTGACTACAGATCCCTACATGGATTCTCAATAACTTTTATTACTTAGGCCATTTTTCTCCAATATCTCCAAGACAAGTTCTTCCTTTGAATATGAATCTTTGGAAGGAAATCTCTACAATTCAAATTGAATGGTTAAACACAAGAAAGGCTAAGGGGTTTTGTTTGTTTTTGTTATTTTTCTAATTTTTTTATTCTATTGCAAATAGATACTTTTCTCATACAATGTATCCTGCTTGGAGTTTGTCCTCCCTTTACATCTGCCAGTTCCTTCCCACTCCTCTCCATTCAGTTCCATATCTTTTCTGTTTCCCATTTTAAAAAACAACAGGCTTCTAAGAGATAACAGCTAAACAAGTTTTGTGAGTGTCAAAATTCTCTTTAATCTCTTGGCACCATGCTCTGCTTGCCTACTATATATGCTAACTTTCTTGTCCTTCATCAAAAAGAAACACCAATAAACTCTTCTTTCCCTCAATCCAAGGAAAGATCGCTGCAGGAAGTTCTCAAAAGCAAGGGGAAGCATACAGTCCTGATCCCATCATCAAAGAGAAAGAGAGAAGAGTCATAGTCAAGCACAGGGTACAGTTTCTACTTTCTTTTTCCAAGACAGAAAGGGAAGGAATTAGCTAAGCTATCTTTGTGTATAGAAACACATCTGGTGTTATTGACACGGTTCCTAAAACATAATAATTAAGCCAAGAAACAATGTCTTAATTGGTTAAGAATAAATGAGCTTCAAGATTCAAACTTTCTTCTTTGTCAGTGCAAGGACTGCTTGTTCGGTATAAGATGGCTCTTCCCTCCACAGATAGCAATGAGCTGTGAAACTTGGAGAGTTGCCCTACCAGCCCAACCTTAACACCTTGAAGTGACACTTAGTATCTTTTCAATTCTTCCCCCTTTTGCAACTCCCATCGTTTCCTGAGCATTCTGCACTTTTCCTGAATTGTTGCCTCAAGGCAGAGTTTTCACTTTCTCTAGCTTGCCCTCTCACCACTTCTGCTCATAACTCCTAGCTTCCTTCCTCCAAACATCGGTTTCATGTCACCTGCTACAAGAAGACCCCTGTCTAGTATTACACAGTTGGCATCGCTTTGGGGTCATCTAAATCCGTATATCAACTCTAATCTCTTAGCAGGTGGGAACCACATCACAGCCTCTGTATTCCTTATCATGCCTAAAACGTCAACAGTTAACATTCAATAACTCCAGTGGTCCCTCCAATTAACACCTGTGCACTAATACTTTGAAAAGGGTATTTAATGTACTTGTGTATTAAAATCATTATATTGGTGATTTTAAAAAGTACCCACACATTTAGGGTTGAATTGAATAATTCATTGGAGCAGTTGGGAACAGTGTATGGAATGTAACATTCCTTCAACAAATCCAGACTATTATTAAGCAGCGAATGGATGATAATTACATTGGAAATTTTCACAGGCTCACCCTTAGGCTAGTATAACAATTTTCTTGAAACTCCACATATCTCTAAAGATTGATTTATATAATCTTCTTGTAAAATAATATAGTAATGGATATAACTATTCTACCTTGTAGTAATAAAGCTATAAGAGACTGACAACATTTTAGCATGTTTCAACCTAAATGTGACAATTCCATACTGTTTAAATCACAAACTGAAAAAAGTCTTTATCGAAGTGGTTTAAGATTAGACTTGGCACCAAGGCATCAACCCTATTTCAGATACAGCCAGATGTTTTCCACTAAATTCCTACTCTAAAAGTGTTGGTCTTACTGATAATCAAAGCCCTGGTTAGTGCTAGGCTTCTGCCCATGGTGAATTCTACCTTTTGTACTTTGGCTAGCCTCACCTACAATAACTATTTAGCTGAATGTGAATCTTTCTCTTCAAGAGATTTTCATACAAGACACTCACCTACTCTTTATCAAAATCCTAAATCATCACTATATTTTCTCAACATATATTCTTACGTCACTCTTTGTCCTCATTAATGAGTTAGCATAAATTTTCTGAGCCCTATTACACTATCATTCATTCATGTATCTAATCATTCGTACGTTCATTCATTCATACGTACATACATACATATATTCATAACTGCTACAAAATCTTCCAACTCCATTTCTGCTTTAAATTTACTCTGATAATGGATTCCCAAGCCATAAGTAGGCTTAGTACTTTTTCGTCCATAACTGATTTGGTCTAATTAAAGATTTTGATTTTATTATCATCTATCTCCTTAGCATTCATGAAGACACATTCTCAAGGTTTTCTCAATTCTTGGCTATTTCTCTTTCATCTACTCTAAAGACTGGTTTCACCAAGGCTCTTCTTCCTGGTTTCCCCTCATTGTCCAGACTCTCTTACAGTATTAAGCCTACAAAATAGCTTTAACTACTCCCAAGTTCCTTACAGCTACAAATCTGGATTATCAGCCCAGTTACTCCCTTAACCATTAGATGCCTATACATGGCACTCAAATGTCATCTATGATGGGATAGCCATCATAAACTTTTTTTTAGAACTGAACTCAGGATCTGTTACATGAACCCAAATGTCTCTTCAGAGCAATTTCCATTTCTCATATTTTGAATTCCAGATCAAAGCTACCTGGGCTTGTGGTTCCTTCTCTTCTTCTCTGCATTACCTGACCTCCCATTCCTACTACCTGACCTCATTCATTGCATGTCCCCATCTGAATTATCTGGTGTCCTATTGCTATGAGGTAGATGATATAAGTATATATAAAAAAAAGAAAAGTAAGGAATAAAACTGGTGGGCTGGTGAGAAAATCGAAGAGAATGTAAAACCATTCAGAATAATTTGTCCCAACCTTCTACATCAAAGAGCTTATCGTTAATAGGGTAGGGAGTCATCCTTACCACAAATGCCTGACTGGCAGAGGTGTGTGTTTCATGGCCACCAGAGCACCACCCCAGTCTAGGAACCAGACATTGTACTCTTCATCAAAGATCTGGAACAATAACAACAATCATAGCAATGGTTTACATTGGCAGTCTTAACAGTTTGCAGTCTTTCACATGCATTGTTTCACTTATATTCTGAGCCTTCCAGTGATCCTATCAGATAGTCTGGCAAGTATTATCTGTATTTGATAGACGAGAAACTAGCCTTACAGAGAACAAATACTCTACTCATCTCACTCAAATGGCATTTCCAGGACATTTCCCACTAGGCATGTGAACCAATATACTATAAGACGATGTGATTATATGGTGCATGCTCAACTAGGTAACCATTTACCCCTCAAAAAACATCATGAATTCAAAGAAATTTTCCTATATTTACTTCTTTATAAATTGCTTCTGTGATCAGTGTTACTCTGCCTCTATGCTTTTTTTTTATGTTTATTTGTCTAGAACTCGAAAGAGAATTTCTCCAAACCCTAGAGAAATTGAATATTTAGGCCTTGTCACTACTTCCTAGATTCTTCTACAAGTTGGAAGATAACCTAAATTTGGTGCCTGTGAACAACTTTCATAAATATGCCTTAAAATATGGTTCTTCCAGTGTCTTAAGACAATTCATCACCTGAGCAATTCATCCATATCTTACTAATTTATCCATTCACTGGTCCACTGATTCAATGTTCCATATCTCCATCTTTTTATAGATGGTTGTTAAGTACCAACAAAACACAAGAGTTTCCAAGAAGATGTGTTCAGATCTAACTACATATACCAAGGCTTATGCTTTGTATGATGGTAGCTTGCAGCAGGGACAGTATTTATTTAACAAATAAATCCAACTTCAGAGTTCATAGAGGAAAGCAGACATTGGAAATTCTTGTGCTGGCTCATGTGGCCTAGATGCAGAGCTTAGGATAGTGACTTGGAAGAAGAGGACTAGAAGAGTGTAAACAGAAGTAAGCAGGTGGGAGTGGAGAGATGACTCAGTGGTTAAAAGCTCCTACTGTTCTTCAGAGGTCCTGAGTTCAATTCCCAGCAACCACATGGTGACTCACAACCATCTGTATTGTTATCAGATACCCTCTTCTGGTCTGTCTGAACACAGCAACAGTGTACTCACTAGATAGATAGATAGATAGATAGATAGATAGATAGATAGATAGATAGATAGATAGTTAGATAGATAGATAGATAGATAAGTTGGCATATGGGAAGGTGGAATAGGTAGGAATAACATGATGTCCTGCACATATGAATACTGCAAAGAAGTAAACTTCTCAGTCCTGGAGTTCTTTCTTTTTATTCTTTACATTTATCTTTTCATTTAAAACAATAATGCCTAACTAATGGCTAATCTTAACAGGCAATGAACTTAAGGCTGCAATTCACATATGACAGAAGTGCAATGTCTACAGTGCTAGTCAGAAGATGGCTCTATGACCAGCAATGTGATGGGGATGCAGGACTGAAGCCACAGAGGAGGAGAAAGTGGTCCTCACACTTTCTTCTTAATATTGTCATCCTGTCCACTGAAAAGTCTTTCTATGCCGGGCACTGATGTGAAAAGCAGAAGTTCTGGTAGTTTGAGAAAGAGGAGAAGCAAGTCCAGATGGTAATAGCACAGGAAAGAAATATAGCTGTGGCTACCTGACTAGGTGAGATATTTCCTTAGGTTATTAAACAATGATTATTCTTTATATTGGATGAGTTTGTTTTTCAAATCCTGTTCTCTTCTGGCCTTTCCAATATGTTATCTTATATTTTGAAGGTTGACACCTGTTTATATGCCTGTTCCCTAGTCACACTTGATTACAGCCTTTGGAGCAGGATCTGACACGATCTTCATTGTATATTATGTCGCACTTGAAATAGCTGTTGTATCTATTAACTGCTTGGCAATACTTTTATGGTGGTAGTGGCACTGTTGGCAGGGAGAGTGACAATGATACTGCTGGTAGTGATGCCAGCTTTAATTTGGTCATCCAAATTGGACCATGACCAGCAAGACACCTAATGGTGGATTCATCTACCTCAAGATACCTAGTACCTTTCCTTTCTTTTCCTCATCTAGAAATTTTATTTTTAAGACTTAGTAATATATCAGCTCTGATTATTACGTGTTTCCCAGTTTCCCCAATAGAACTAACTCTTCATTCTTCTTCTCATGATCATAAGACCACTAAAATAATAGAATCACCCTGAACTATATTTAGCTTTATGTGAAATTGTTTCCTTCATTTAAATGTGAACTCCTTAAAGGAAGGAATGTCAAATCTTAAGGCCTTTTGCTTGATATCTTGCTGACATTAAATATATCTGTGCTGACTAATATAGTAGTCACATGTGACTACCTACATTAAACTTAAGTAAAAATTTCCATTCACACAGCATATATTAAATACACAATGGCTGTGTAGGGCACTGCTATCATCACTCCAGGGTCTATTGTTTGTAACACTAAATTGATTTTTCTTGTAGATATATATGTATTAAGCTGTCTTATAGTTACTGATGGCTGAGCCTATATTGCTCTTAAATTATCACTGACTTCCATGGCTTCTCTGGCTTCAACATTCTAATCCTTTCACTTTAAAGATAAAGAAGCCGATCGAGGAAGTTGCTGAGAGCTGCTTGCCAAGATTCCTTGGCACACTAATGACAGAAGCAGCTTCATCAGTGTATTCTCAGGAACCAGAACATTTAGCATCCAGAAGTTGTTATATACGTATCCCTGAAGGGACTATATAACCAGCCAGCACAAGTCAAGGTTTTCTTCTTCCCGGCCCAGATCTCCTCCCACTCACTGTTAACCCTCCAAATTGCCAGGTAAATCCAGTAAACTGGATAGCTAGTCAAAGATTGTTCAACTACAAAGTCATAAGGAGTCCAAGAATCTGTAGGAAGGAGAGATGTTGGCAGACTTTACTATAACCATCCCCCTTCTTCCTGAATCTTCTACTCACCTGTCTCCACGTGTTGCCCCCATCAGAGGAGATGAACACACCAATATCCGTATAGGAGAGTTCTGAGCCAATATTGCCTGAAACAAAAAGATCTTTTGAAGTTATCAGGAAGTCTATGTTTTAAGTGTGCTCAGGGTTAGAGGAGGAGCATCAGAGTAAAGATTAGCTGAAGGATGCTTGCAGCTAATTCTTGAACACTTTTTCTAGAGGTCACCTAAAAATAAAACCCCAGCAGGAACAACAACAACTACAACAACAACAAAAACAACAACAAAACCTCTTTATGACAATCTTTAGACAGTAGAACTCAGGGACTAGATATTGAAGAACTTGAGAATTATCTGCTCTGACTACCCAGACTTTTTCAAACTGCTAATGAGTGGTGTGCAATGAAGCTGGCCAAGTGCCATGTCTGCTTCTACCTTTGGGGTAGCCAGACCCATTGCACACCGGACTGGACTGCAGGAAGGGCAGCTTAGCTTAGCTGGGATAGGTGAGTGCAGACAGGATCTTAGTCTATGTGAGTGTACTGGTAAACAACACGAACTGGGGCAATAGCTTCAGAGAACTGTTTCAGTTTATTAGAGGGAACAAAGGCCATTTAAACCTTTTGAGGGTGAGTAGGAGCTGTTGCAGTGAGTATACATCACTGGCCTGGGACAGGGTGCATAGAAGTGGGGGTGATGCCTCATTTTCATGAAGAGGAATTCCAGGCACAGGCACCGTTGGACATGACCTTATAAAGCCTGCAGCCAGGACAAACATCCTTTCCCCTTACAAGATAAAGAAAAAAAGTACCCTAAACATGTAAGAGTTTATCATATTGGTTGGTATTTTTTTTCATTAAACATAGTAGAAAAGGAATGTTAGCTCCCACACATCTGTAACCTAAATAAGAGCACAATAAAAATGCAATAATGAAAATGTTAATTGAGCTCCTGACATTTAATACTTCAAAATGAGAAATTAAAGCCAGGCTATAGAGCTTGTCAAGCACCCATCAGCATCAAGGAGCACACAGCTAGCCAACTTGTTTTGACACTCTGGCTTCCAAAAATAACCCAGATGCTTAGGGCTCAGGAAGTAGGTGTAAAAGGAGAGGGGAGAAGCACTGAGTGCCACTGCATAGATGCAAATCTGTTTGGAAGTTCATCTCTTTAGGCACGGGTATAAGAAAGAACAGCCAAGATGCATAAAGAAAAGAGGTGGAAAAGGTTCCACGGCTGGTACCAGGAGTACTGTGGTAAAAAGAATACAGTAGCCATATGTGCTGTCAAGAGAATAGAGTACAGTAATCCATTAGATATTTTAATAATGTCTACAGAGGAAAAACAGGAGGGAGGGAAAGAGGGAGGAATGGAGACAGGGAGATTAAGAGAGAGCTATGTATTTGCCATCCCTAGCATGGTCCCCCAGAATCTATTCTACTGCTTCTTAACTTCATTAGACATTGGTTCTGATATTTTCAACCTCTCTTTAAAAGCCTCTCCACATGGATTTGGCACTTCTGTGATGGTAAGAAGCCCACTTCATAATCTCTGTTTTCAGAAGTGTCTTCCATCATCTGAAGAGCATCCTGAGAAATGCATAGCTAATTATAGAGACCAGAAACTAGGTTCTGTATTGAATAAAAGACTAAATGTTTCCAGTATGATTTTATGCTTGGCTGTGTTCAGTGTTTAAGTGGCTCCATTGGCAATTATAGCAGCAAGAGCTTGGGTGATGTTGTCAGAGAAGGAAGATCTGGCTAAAGGGTGCATTACAAGCCAAGTGGAAGGAGGGTTAGGCAGAGTGGTTACTGAGCATATTGGAAGGTACCACAGCTATTGCTGTCTGAAGGGCATCTAGGAAGCAGGAAAGAGGGATGAGACAGAAAAACAGGGATCTTTCTTACCAACAACTTAGTTTATAAACAAACAAGATGGTACTGACATTTGAGGTAGCTTTACTAAACTCTCTTTCATCTGTTTCCTATCATGACAATCATTCTCTGCTCCTTCAATGATTGTGAAATAAAGAGAAAAAACACTGGAGCACTCTGGGTTAGAAATGCTTCCCTAGATGATGGGAAAAGGATCTATACAGACAGAGATGCCAAGGGCTCAGTAGAAAAACAACAACAGCAACAAAAAAACAATCCATATATAGCCAACTGTATGGAGAAATGGGGCAACATGAGGTGTGGGTACTCAGAATTTATAGGAAGCAGTACAGGGATGGGTTAGACATGGAGGTGGCACAGTTGGTGGCTTGTGGATGGTGTTTGATGGTTACAGAATTAGCCACTTTTCTGCAGAAAGAAGGATAGTGGGCTTGGCCATGATGTTGCCTCCCATTTGGCTTCTGTCTCAGATTGAGTAAATTGAGGAGAGCTGTCATTGTCTCATCTACCCCATTGCTTTATAATCAAGGCAAGGAACGTGCTTTTCAGACTGGACACTGCTGTGAGCTATGGAGCTGCAAGTTCTTCCCCAGTAGTAGGACTCAATGCTCAGGATATTGGGAATCCTGATGCTTCTGCTAAAAGTAACCATTAGACTCTCCAGATAGATCCTCAATGAGAGGTGGGAAGAAAACTCTGTGCACTCATTCATCCATAGCTTCCTTGAGACCAGTTCTCAAGACAATATGAGAAGAGAGAGTAAATAGGAAAGGTGAGAGACAGAGCCCTGAGCTCTTCAGGCAGAAGCAGGGGATAGGAGCATGAATGTAAGGTAGGTATTTAAAGAACACTCCTCTCCCTCTTGCACAGCAGTGAAAGCTAGGAAAGTGATGAAAGCTGGGCATCCAGAAGCATAAGTCAGCAGGTTAGCTCAAGATCTTGTTATCTGTGTCTTAGTTCTCCATCTGCTCCCTGGCTGGCAAGAGGCCTTCAAAGTTTATGGGTAAGGGAAAGAAATTAGTAAATTTGGATATATAGGACGAAATATTCAAAAATAAATATTTAATGCCTGAATGATGAATGCTAACTCATTAACGACATGACATTAGACTAATTTATGAGTGTATGTGGTCAGTATTATATCACGTACTCTGAGAACGTTGTCCATTCTTACGGATGTGGTCTTCTCTCCATTCATAAGGAAGATAACAATTTCTGTCTTACAAATGGGAATATGAAGCTTAGCACTACACCAAGCTCACCATTCTAGTAAGTGTCAGAGCCATGCTTAGAGGACAGGATGACAGGGCTCCCTAATTTCATTGCATGTAAAATGTAAGCGTATATTATGGGTCCCATTGAAGGAGAAAAACAAACTACCTTCTTCTCATGCAAAAACAGCTTTAACTTCAAGAACACAGGGTGATAGTAGATATCTAATGCAGAATAGCCAACAGATCCTGAACATTTGAAACCATTTGAAATTCATTCCTTCATTTAATGCTAAATTTAGCTATGATAGTTTTATTATCCCCTCTTTGCCAACTAAAACACAAAAGTTCAGAGTGGTTGAGTTGAGTAATGCCTGGTTGTCAACAGACGCATTCAAATGTCTACTTTTATCAGTGACCACTATTGACAAGTTTAACTTCTATTCCAGGCTTGGGTCTCCTGTAGACTTTGATGAGGCAGATAGACTAACAGCCCCTGACCCTGAAGAACTAACTCATGGACTTCAGGTGTAGGTATCACTCTCTGAGCAAGAGACTGCACTCATCTTACTCTCTGGTGCTTCTGAGAATAGTGATGTAAGCCATGCTGGATCCTGTCCACACTGAGTGTAAGTGAAGCCTGTGAGGACAGCAGGCTGTACTAGCCTCCGAGTTTATTAACATGCTTGGTGACTTTTAGTGATTGAAAGTTGATTGGATTGGAGCTTTGGAGATGGAATCCATGTCTACAAGAACAGGGGATCCAGAAATAAGAGTGTTGGATGCTGGAAGTGGACTGTATACCCTCAAAAAGTCACTGTGAATTCATGTACTTTCTTTGGAGGAGGGGTGTGCTCCCTGACACCAGAGATGTAAATGCTAAGATTAGAAACCTGTCTGACTTTATGCCAACAATGTATTCCTAAAAAGGTGTATGCAAATCAGATGCATGCCAATCCAGGCACATTCCACAGAGACTTCCATTTCATCTGAGAACTGTTGTATCTTCACTTTTGATTGATGATCAGTGGACAGTGGCTCCAATGTTGCAACCTGAAGTTTTTCTGCCCTCTTCCCCAGGCTCTCTGCCAAGTGCTTAATCATGTGTAAACAAACTTTTACATGTGCCAGAGACCTCCTGATTAAAAACAGCTCTAGGGTGAAACCTTCTGTAAAGTATCTTCTGTGTAAAGAGAAAACTGCCCTACCTGATATTTGGAGAGCTGGGAAGTTTGTACTGCATGTTTTCTCAAATTGAGAATTCCCTGTTACAATCTCTCTGGTCAGTCAGTTGACTTTGACAGGAATTCTGACCTTTCACTAGATGCAGAGAACCCCTCTGGGACCTTGGGGCAGGATGAATTAACCTAGAAGCTAAGACTGTCCAAAGCACTTTGTATCTCAGTTTCTTAAGATGGGCTTTGAGGACTGAACAATCTTGCTCATTTTCTGAGGTGTTTCCTTGTAGTACTCAAATAAATCCATGACCTACAAGTATGCCACAAACCTTATTCCAGAAGCTGTTGGTGAAAAAGAAGTCCAGAGAATATTTCTTACCTGTGGCAACCACAAGTCCAGGGGCTGTGTCCTTGCTGGAGATTCTTCCAGAGGAATATGGGTTTTCAGAAAGCTGTAGATGCAGGTGTAGGGAACAGAAGGGCTAAAGGGAAGAAGAAAATATTTAAATTCCAAGAAACTCAAGCCATACCCTTTCCTACAGGATAAGAGGTGAAGCTTGCAGATGGGCATCACCTAGGGACAGAAGCAGTGAGGAAGCTGAACTCCAGTCCCATCTGCCTGATGGATCCAGTACTTTACATTAGAAGTTGCCCCAAGTATCCTTCCTCCCTTTTTCCTCACCCAGTATCAAATGCCTTCTTTCCTCTTCTGCAGTCAATCCAACCTTCAAGGACTAGTTCATGGTTAGCTTTAGGAAGCCTAGTAGCCCTTACCTTCACAGAGGATGACAAGCGTCTTCTAGATGCAATAGGTACCATCAAACCCTGCTTAGTAGGGATCACCAGGGGAGTGAAACTGGAAAGCTACATGACCTATAGTCCATGTTCTCAATAAGTTTCTTGTTCCATAATCTGTGTCTGTGTTTATGTATTTTGAGCCTGCTTATAATTTTACTTAAAAGATTTCAAGCCATTATCCAAAATTCACTGAACACGGGACTCTTTTCCATTTACTTTCCTATACCCATTATAGAAAAGGGATTTGGTGATATATACAGAGAAATCTATAAAATAAAAATAATTATGATGAAGACAAATTGAGAGAAAGAGAAAATTAGACAAATAGAGTAAGATAAAGTAACATCAAAGTTTAACATAAAAAAAAGAATAAATTAACCAGTGATTCCATGAGCTTCCCCCAATGAGTAGGCAGCTATTTGTGTGGCATTCCTAGTGTTTAAACTAAATAAAGTGTAAAATTGGACTAAAACTTACAAAATGGTAGTGACCCTGTCTGACATACACATGATTATATCTCTAGATTTTCACATAATATCTAGAAGTCACTTGGCTCATAAATCTCTTTGAATACACGGACAAAGACAACGTTGTCTTAGGATTAAACTCAGCCACATATCTGAGATGTTAGAATGGGTATCTGCTGCAAGCATTCACTAACAGGCACCTGACGGTTGTATTATTGTTAATTATCTTAATGTCGAGGCACCTTGAAGCAGAAATGTCATCTTACACATCATGACCCCACACTCTCTGCCTCAACACTCTCATAGCAATGACCTTTAAAGGCTAATAGGTTAACTGACAATTTAGTGTAGGCAATCCTGCCGGACCCTGCTGGGTTTCCTTGCTTATTCTGACATCTATTTAGCACTGAGCAATCTATCAGTTAACATATGAGTTAGCCCTACTGAGCCCTGTCTACTACTTTTATTCACAAGTACAGGCTCATTGTCCACTTCTTTATTTTACTGACAGCTGTAGGACATTGTCCCTTATAAATGAAAACCTATATAATCGGGCTTTCATTCAATCTATGTAGTGGTCTGAGCTTGCAGCCCTGCGCTCCTCATATTGCTCAGCACCAGACAAATTCCAAATGAAGGAAGAGAGCCCTTGATACACCATCCTCAGAGGCGCTACCTGCCCTGAGAACTCTACATGGAGCTAGATAACTTACCAGTAAACAGTGCACTGGGCTTCCTCTCAGGTCCACGTCTGGAGCTTGCAGTAGACGCCAGTCCCTGCCTTTGTTATAGGTGATGTATGTCTTCACCTGCTCATCCACTTTCTTGTTTGCCAGGAATATTCCCTTGATACCTGCTACCTAGGAAAAAGGTGAGAGATGGAGAGCCATGTTGGGCCAAGATGGTAGCCTTGGAGACAACCTGAAAGAATCACTGGCATCTGACATAGGGTGTAGAAGGCAAGAAAAGGTGTAACGAATGTCATATTTCCCAAGGTTCACCTTTGTATTCTATACCAAATCCCTACATGCCCCCTCTCATTTTACACATCAGGTTTTCCCCATTTTGCCTGTCTTTGTTCTTTGTTCCATAGAATATTATCTTAAGTTAGCTATTAACAGTTCCTGTTATAATGACCAAAGGCTTTACCCCTTCCAGAGACAGTTGGGTTAGCACAAGGAATTCTAGTAGAAAGATTTTGAAGTTACCAAGGAAAAACCCTTTATCACATCCCACAAATATTCTTACAAATAAGGTAAACATTACGCAGCAGGTGTTCCAATATAGAGAGCTGATATCAGTGCATGCCTCTACCTTACTGTACAATTTTATATAATTTACATATCATCTTTAGGTGACTTTAAAATCAGTGTTTTCTCTCTTTTTCCCTAGTTGGTTGACAAAGATCCTGTGAAATAAAGCACAGTGCTCTTGCCAGAGTTCTTAATGTATTGGGATTTTCATGTTCTTGATATTTTGAAGGAATAAAGAACAGCACTGCAAAACAAGTAGCTGGAGTTGATTTATCAATTAAATGCACCCTAGGCTAAGTGCAAATTCCACTTGAACTTTTACTCTACATCCTGGAAAGGAGAACAGATTCTTAGGATGACAATCTCCTGTAACAGAAAGTGATTTGTATAATTGCCAGCATATGCCGAGGCCAAAACACAAAAAAAATTTTGTGTGTACCTGTGTGTGTGATAAATAAAATAGTGTGTGTATGTGTGTGTGTGTGTGTATGTTTGTATTAAAAACAAGGTAGAGTACATGGGCATTTGTATGTGTGCTTGTGTGCTACATGTATGCACCCAAGTAGAAATTGGACACATATCCACAAGCACACACACACCCACACACCCACAAGCATACACCCACCCACATACTCACACAGTTGAATAGCAGGTTTGCTGGATGTGTTTGATTGTCAACTGGACTGGATTTAGAGTCTTTATAAAAAGATATCTCTGAGTATACATTTAAGTGTGTTTCCAAAAAGATTTAAAGGAGGAGGGAAGTTCTATCATGAACGCAGGGTGGTATGATTCCATGGACTGAAGACTAACACAGAATAAAAAGGAGAAGGCTATCTCATCATTATTCATCTATCTTTGCTTCCAGACTGTGGACACAACATGAGTAACCATCTCAGCCTTCTGCTGTGATGGCTTTCCCATCATGAAGCACTGTCTTTCAAGTTGTATGCCAATATAAATAAGCCTCCTTCCTCAATTTCCATTTGCCGGGTGTTTGTTACAGCAACAAGAAAAGTAACTAACACACTGGACAATACTGAGATGTGTCAAAGTTCTAAGTTTCCTTCTCCTACATTCTTCAAGAATCCTAGTTCATTGAAATTCACCATACCTCTGAAGGAACACCAGTGGGAGGAAAGGAGAAATTTCACTAAAGGAGGATTTTTTTTTTCTTCTCTTCTCCTAAATGACATCCTTTAGTTGATGAACTAAAAGGTTTTTATAGTTCATTTTTGTAGTAACCTGACTGGCCTTGGAAGAGAATGCCAACCCAAATTAGACAAACAAAAATACCTCAAACAAAGGGACAGAGAAATGTCAGGAAGAGAATAGAACTATCAGGAAGGGACAGCACCAAAGGAATTTGGCAATGAGCTAGTGATAGATAGAAGGGATGATTAGACTGGTACCTTGAACTGAAGGTAGATACAGAGAAGCTGTGTAAAGATGATGCACTCAGTGTGCAAGAGCCATGGGTCCCTAGCTGTACCCATCCTTTCTCATCAGCTTCCAGTCAGTATATTTCGGAAGACTCAGGTCTTACACACTCCCAAGTAGCCTGGGGTTTTTTTTAAGGTTAATTTCATTTATTTATTTGTACACGTGTGAGAGATTATGTGTGGAATGTGTACATAATCCAGAAAAGGGCACCAGATCACTTAAAGCCAGAACTGTAGGCATTTTCTTAGTGCCTGTCTTGTTAAGTGATATTGGGATTTGAACCATCATTGCTAAGACTGCAAACATTTCTCCAGCCCCCAACATTATTCTTTAAAATTCATTGCAAAGCCAGGCAGTGGTGGCACATGCCTTTAGTCCCAGTACTTAGGGAGAGAGAGGCAGTTGGATCTCTGAGTTCAAGACCAGCCTGGTCTACATAATGAGTTCCAGGACAGTCAGGGCTACACAAAGAAACCATCTTTTGAAAAAGAAAAAGAATGAAAGAAAGACAGAAAGACAGGAAGGAAGGAAGGAAGGAAGGAAGGAAGGAAGGAAGGAAGGAAGGAAGGAAGGAAGGAAGGAAAGAGGGT